GCGGTGTATTTATGTTGTACTTTGCAAATCAATTAATGAGTAATAAAAGAATAATTAATGTTTTCGATCCAAACAATTATCGTTCTTACCTACAGGACTTGATACTATCAAGTTCAAAGTGTATGAAGAACATTTGTTTAATTTGTGGAAAAGACGAAGGTAGTTTTAAACAAAATTATAATTGTGAAATCGATAGTACAATGGTTCAATGTGGGTCTTGTACTAGATGGCTGCATATCTCATGTTTACCTGCAATTGAGCAAGAAGAATTTGAAAACCCAGATTGGGTTTGTGGACTGTGCTCAAATCAATGTCCAACTATCTAAAAATAAATTTCACAAACATAATTAATGTCTATGTTATAACATTCATAAATTGTTTACTGTATTTTATTTATTAACTATAAAATTTAAAGTGATGACTCTTTGATATTTAAATTCCACTCAATTAGTATTGAGGAAATATGAGCATCAAGATTTATTAAAAAAAATTATGTTATAGTGACGACCTATGATTTTAAATTCCACTCATACGTTTTGAGGAAATAACAGCGTCATCAATTGTTAAAACTATTTTTTATTTTAAATAGAAAATGGCTTAAGTTGGATAAAACTTTAAATTTAAAAAAATAATAGTAAAATGATCTATATTACTTATAATAATTTTACATTATCACAGTAATTATTTTTTAATTAACTTATATTTAAAGTTCAAACTATTTTTGTATAATTTTTGTTGGTAAGACTAATTAAAAATTGATTTGTCCAACTTTGAGCCACTTATATAAAAGAGTTCATTCAAGCGCTTACAATAATTCCACTCATTTAATTTTGAGGAAATGTAAGGCATTCATATTCAATTTTATTTTCAGAAGAATATGTCTATGATGAACTCTATGAGCAGTATAATAGCTAATAATAATTTGGTATTATGGTTTATTCATAAAATGAGTTTGTAATGGAAAACTATTAGACTATAGTTGTAGAAATTAAAAATAAAATTGTAAACAGTTATGTTTGTATATAAAATGCTTACTATGCATATTATTATGTGTGTGTAATATAGTTTAGCTGTAAAAAAAAAGAAATGCGGGTTTTTAGGCCTACAGGGGATCTTTTTACCGCTTTAAAAATCTTAAAAGAAACGAATCTAAATGCAATACCTCATGGGTGGATTTGGAAATTTGCATTTATAATATATTGTTGGCACAAATAAGTAATTGAAATTGTGCATCACAATATAATTCATATAGGTAGTGTTAAGGTATAATTTTAAATATATCAAAAATATGTGCAAATAATGATGTAGGTACCTAAACAATTTTAAACAGTAGTGTACGTAAGTTATGGCTGGGGGGGGGGGGTGAATATGTTAGTAGGTTTATGTAGATACCACAAAAATAAGTTAAATAAGTTATGAAAGGGGCACTTATATTTATTTAACATTGTGTTGATTAAATGTTAAATGATAAATATTTTAAACATAGTTATAAACCCATTGAACATTGAATCACAATGTTACTTATGAAGCATTAATAAATAAAAATGAATTATATCATAACATGCTTTGGTTTTTTAAGTAAACAAAATTAATGTAAATATTTGTACATTTTAATTTATTTACAATTATATTTTTATTATAAATGTATTTGTAAGTTACATATGTGGTATAAAGATGATTTTAAAATTATTTTTTTTTATCTAGGTATGTAATTTTTACAATAAAATATAATACATCAATAAAATTGTAAAACAACATAAAATTAAACAAATAATTATTTTAACAACATTATGTACTTATTATTTGAATAATTGGGAGCTTTTGTTGTGATAATTCCATCTTCAGGTAATTTGTCTGAAAATACACATAAATACATACAATTGTATTTAATTTATTATATATTTTATTGTTATTTTGTGTTATTTAAAAAAAATGATTACAGATTAATTATAATCATACAATTATAAAAAAAATTAGGTCTTCCAAAATAATGATTTAAATAAGGAGGTATAACAAATGGCTTATCTCTGGATACTGTGGTTTGTTGAAGACATGAAAGATTGATTTTCTAAATTTTAAGTAACTATTATTTACATGGTACCTATGCATAAGTTAATATATGTAACTACAAATAATATTTTCAAATAATCAAAAACATCATGCAGTGATATTGACTACACAATCTAATTAATTTATAATATTGGTATTTTTGTTCTTCAGCGTCATTTATTTTGCAAATTCTGCATACATCTTAAGTTAAGTAACTAAACAAATTACAAAGTATCTAATTTTTCTAGGAACTGTAAATACTGTATGCACTGACTACCAATAGAATAATTTAGATATAAGTGACTATTGTTAGACCAAAATCACAACTCTAAAATATCTCTACCTATACTATTTTTGGTATATATTAACATATTTGATTTTTTTCATGAAACAAGAAAAATAGTAGATTCAATATCACAACAGATATTTGTACCTACCTACATTAAATTAAAGACTATTTAAATGTAATATTTAAATCCTTAAAAAACAAAAATTAAAATTCTGCAGATACTAGATGAACATGCATTTTGTGTATTTCAATGTTGTTTTGATATTTATTTTAATCTGACCTATAGCCATACTTATATAGATATTATTAAAATATCAATAGAAAAATATGGATGGGTTGAAATCAGCCTAGTATTTACTTGTCTGGCCGACTGGGCTCCCTCTCTTCCTTCTCATTTTAAATTACATTATCATTTAACTAGGTTTAGTTTTCCTATGTAGTTTTCCTTAGTTTCTCTTAAAATGTTTTTATAAATAATAGTACTGCAATCTGTTGTTACTATTTTATAGTTATTTGCTATTTGTTTATTAGACTTCACTTTAACGATTATGTTATATTGTTCATATTTACATATTACTATAAATTGTATTGTACTTTTGGGCTCCTAGCCCATTCATAAATAAATGAATATGGACATAAAACACTATAATATAATATACAGATTGTAATAAATTGATAACTGTCTTTTTCTTGTCTTTTGCTTATAATTAAAATTAAATTAAATTTTAGTTGCCCCTAATAAATGTAGTAAATGCAACTTAATATAGCTGGTATCAACCATTTTCTTATCAGTGGTATAGGAGCTAACTAGGAAGGAGCTATCTTCACAGACATTCAAATTTAAATTTATTTAAATCACGGACTAAGATATACAGGACTGGACACGACAAGGTTGGAGGGTGTGGGGGGGTTGACTACGAAATGTTTTACAACAGGCAGTGTTCGGGGGGATATTTTCCTTTTAGCATTACTAGCGCCGTCTTAGTGGATACTTTTGGAACTAGATGACAATAATGTGATCTAGTTCCATAAGTATCCACTAAGACGGCGCTAGTAATGCTAAAAGGAAAATATCCCCCCGAACTCCGCCTGTTGTAAAACATTTCGTAACCACAATATTCATCTCGTGTCCAGTCCTGTATATCTTAGTCCGTGATTTAAATTTATAAATCATAAATGTTGATAATGATAAAAACCATGAACTATGATTATAGTTCATGATAAAAACATTTTTATTTACCTAACCTGGTTACTAGTTACTAGTGAGACGTTTTGATCAAAGGATGAAAAATAGATTCCGAGACAACTAGATCCATGTTGTTATCATATGTACGGTTGGGATCTTGATGACCCGGGTCCTTATCAGAATGGTTACCGGGATCTCGATGACGCGGGATCTATTTGTCCGCACACCGGTGCGACGTCCTCTTAAGACTTAAAGATATTATAATATCTTTAATCGTGCTTATGACGACTGATAACCAAGATTTAATAATAATAATAATATTGTTCTATAGGCCTATAGCAGCTGCCTATAGTGCATTAGTGCCAATGAACAAATTGAAATTGTTTTCCCTTTTTTATAAACACTGATTTTTCACATGTTTCAACTACTACTAGATGAAGAAAGAAGATAACCTTGTATTTTGGACTTGAGTCAAAAACTCTCAATTTATATTTATAAATTTTATACCCAATAATATAATAATATAATTAATGTGTAAATGTTTAATCTAAAATCTAAATACGACTTACGTGTTATGTGTATCTAATAATACGCCTATGATGTTTTGTGGATCAGGCATCAGTCAATGTCAATCAATCGTGAGAATTAATTATATTATTATCGGCGTGCACCGTGCTTTCATTTAAGTATTTCGCAACATTTAGTCGATAATCAATTTGTATCTGGACCAACGGAGGTTATAATATTAATACATGTGACGCAGAGAAGAACTGAGAACAACTTTGACACTGTAACGGCAATAATATGTTACTCAATGTTGTTATATCGTAACTCACAGAAATCGCACCTTTCTAATTAATCAGCTTTTGTAAGTTATTTGATTATGTTGTACATTGTACCTATTCCAATAAGAAACAATTAAAAATGTTGCTCCTCTCTGGCATAATTAATTAACAGATGATAAACTATTGCTTTGAAAAATACATTTTATCAAACAAATAAATAGGTGATTTTTTTTAATGATTATTATTTTATTAAAAAATATTATGTTTAGTACCTACTTAGGTGTACTAAACTACTAAATATAAATTACAATTTTAAAATAAGTTCTCCTGTATAGAAAATGGTTAGTGATATTATAGTTACAATTGTTAAGAGTGATTTTAAAAACCTCAATGACTTTCCATAAATTTTTAGTTGATTTATTTCTTTTTTAAGTAATTTAGATTTATCTTTCTTTCTATAGAATTGTTTAGGTATTTACTTTCATAACAGATTGAATCTAAGTTATAAATTGTTTGTTTTCTTTAAACAGTCAAAATATTTTGGCATCTTTCCAAATAGGTCTCCTTTGTATGTAAAAAAAGATATTCATAGACAATTATATTATTTTTAATTTCGATTCCATTTTAAGATTCAATAATTTGTTGTAACTTTTTGTTTTTTTAAGTAACATCACAGTGAGCCGATCGCATTATGTCAATTAGAGGATCTGTTTGGAAACCAAATTTACTGATGGCATCATCAAGTTGTCGGGCACAAACAGTATGCCGGACATTCTCAAGGCGGTGCAAGAAATCACTATCAAATGATTCAATACTATTATCTACTTTAAAAAAACGCACCAGAAATTTTTTTAAAAAACAAGACTTAGGCGTTCATATTGCAAGAACTAGAAAGGTAATGATTACTTGTAAAAAGATGATTACTGCAGTCAATAAGTTTAAGCAACAGTTGGCTAAACACAGAAAAAACTTGATCATGTGTGTGGCTATGGCTTTTACATTTGATTGGTATAAAGAAAGAATATGTGTTGATGAGCTTATCAGGTATATTGGTTTTGTAATTTGAGATTTTATTTTTATTTAATTAAATATGTATTTTTATTTATAGGCTACGTCAAGAATTTGGAATTGTTAAAAAATTAAATAAACAATCCACCTCAAATAATATTATTCAAAATGAGCAAAATATTAATATTTCTCAAAAACCGATTTCTAATATTAATGAATTAAATTATTCTATGTCTAAGACAGAAAATAATAAAAACCAAATTGAATGTTCGTATAGCAGTTGTGATTGTCCTAGATGTAGAAACATGAGTGGTAATTATATAATATACCGACATTAAATATACATTTTCATTTTAGTTAATATTGTAAAACGTTTTTTGTAGTTTGATTACATTTATTTTTGCAGAGGAAGGATGGGAACCTTTTACGAGTGGTTCTTATTACAATGCTTGGAGAAAACCTAATGTTGATTACCCAGGTCAAAATTTATATATTTACAAAGGTAACTAATAAAATTAAAAAAAAAAAAAAAAAAAATTAAAAATTACTGTTTTTATATTTTTTTAGTGCATGGATCATTTAATGATATAACAGCATTAGACTTTATGCAAGTGCAGTTAGACCTTCAATATCGAAAAGAATGGGATAATATGTCTGTAGATTTGGATATTTTTGATTCAGAGCCTCTTACACATAGTGATCTCATTTATTGGGAATTTCGTTGGCCGGTAATTATTATTTGCCAAAAGTTATACTATAGAAATTTTTATATGTATAAATTTATTAGAATACACAAATTCCTATATCAGAAGGAAAATCAAAATTTCCTTGAAGTTTTTGAAGTTATTACAAAGACAAAAATACAAATTAGAGTTTAAATAATTTTTTAAAGGTTTGTTTTATTATTATTATTTTTATATTTTCCTCCAAAATTTAAAAAAAAAGCCAATATTTCTTAACTATTTGAGAATTTAAATATGAATAGTATTTAGTATTTAGTATACAAAAAAGTATAAACATCATCTTTATTTATATCATTATATTTTTTCATTTCACTTGTAATAATGGTGATATTTCCGATTTAATACCTTTACACATTTACAAATGTATTAAGATTTAAGATATCTCTCAACCTTTGGGTAAATGTCTATTATATACTTATTGTATACAGTGTTAAACGTCACAAAGCATAATATTAAAAAATGCAGTAAATACTAGTTTATTGCATGTATTTAACATGTTCAGACAATATTTTTGATATTAAAATAAGGAGATTTATTTAAATTTTTAAATTGTCCTTTGCATAGTTTTTTGATTAAATTAATATATCCATAATTTGTAGCTGCAGTTTAGTTTTTTATTTTGAATAATTTTTATTTTATTTTTAAATTTTTTTTTATTTTAATACAAACATTATTTCAATGGCTTATAGAAATGGTTTCAAAATCGTGATTATGTGTTTAAACGACGCTACAAAATTGATGAAGATGAAAAATTAATGTTAATTGTTTGTGAAAGCATTGAACACCCTGATTATCCTGAACAGAATAATAAGTGGAGAGTAAAAGATTATTGGTCATATATTGTCATTAAACCACATGAAGATTTTGATAAGGTAAGGACATACGATTAAAGAAAATAAAAGGTTTGATACTGGGTACTGCTGTGCTGTACTTTAGGTGTCGTGTAGATGATTATATGGATGTGTTCAATTTTAATTCAATGATATATTACAATCATTGTATACCAAAAAGGATTCTGAGCTAAGACTGTCTGTCAGCCTATATCATTAAGTACATTTAATGTATTATTTCTATTAATGTAATTAATGTAAACTAATATTGTTACTTTTCATTTAAATGACTACTTCCTTGAAATTTGAACTTAAAATATCTATAAAAAAAAGAACTGTGTTGATATATATCTTATATAATTGTTAGTTCTAGTATAAACTGCTTACGAGAAAACTTGTTTTAAGTTTTCAACCCATAGCTATAAAAATTGAAAATGTTATACATTTTTACTACAAAATAATTTACAAATTTTTAAGATTACACAAAATTAAATATAAATTATAATTGTTAAGTCATTATAAACCTTTTTATAATACCTATAAGATATAGTACATTCACATTTATTTGGTGTCTTTATCCATCTTATATCCACCTTCAATAGCATACTTCACATTAATATAAACTTAAAATGAAACAACACAGTTAATAAATTAATCGTATCGGCTATCGCCATCAAACTAGACAAATTTACTTATATTGATACAGCGTCCATATCGTTGGTGATCAATGTTGACTAATGTAGGTTCATTAAATTTAATGCTCTATCAAATGTCATAATTTTAAATATATTGTCTATTATGTTACAGCCAGGAGTTGAGTTTTCAATCACTTACTTTGATGACCCCGGAGTTACGGTTTCAAATTACCTCACTTCATGGTACCAATGTAAAGGTATATTATTATTTTATTTTAATTATTTTAAGTTGTGAAATATTAATAAAATTTATTTTATTTTATTAGGGTTACCTTCATTTTTAAACGATCAAAGATTAGCTGCATTAGAATTAACAAAACGTCGCTTCGATGACAATAATATTTTAAAACCAGAAAAAACTAATATAGAAGCCAAACTAGATCAACCACAGACACAAACATCTTGGATTTCTTGGATTTTTGGATACTTTTTATTTTAAGTGACATTGAATATAAGTTAGTTATTAAATAGTCAATTAAAAAAAAAAAAAATTATTTGTGAATAAATGTAAATAAAATAATAACTACTGTTATTATATACATAATTATTCCGGTAAAAGGTCTTGAACTTGTTCATCTGCAAATTCTTTTTCTAATGATGTAATTGGTCTCGATGTGGATGTGCGTGGTCTCTGTAAGGGTCCCAATGGATCACTATACATTTCTAGATGAAAATATAAATTATTTATATTTAATCTATAAAATTAGTATATATTAACAGTCAGTGCTTTAGCTAGTTTCATTTTATTTTTATAAAACATATTGCGCCTGTGTATACCCATAGGCATGTTATGAAAGTATTGGACTCCTTAACTCAGTATCTTCGATTATAATTGTTGCTTTACATATTAAGGTATCATACAATAAAACCTACCAGTTATAACTTAATCACCTGGTACCAACGTATTTTTCCGTTATAAAGGAGTTCTTGTTATATGGAGACTAAAATATACGAGTTATTGGTTATATGGAACTGTTGTTATATTCCTCCTTATAGTGGGTCTGTTATAAGGAGATTTTACTGTACAGGATTTTTTTTTTTTGAATCGTTTGAAATATTGTATTACAATATTATTTAAGCAAAATTATCGCCCATGTTCCTAACCTCAAGCTACGGCACTGACTAAAATATTGATGCCCAGCCCGTTCATTAACCAATTTTTAAGCTTAAAAAATTTACATAATTTCCAAAATATTAAAATTTTGTTTTTATTAAATATATTTTTCTGTTAATGGCCTGCATAAGCCACAAATGCAATATTTCAAAATTGTGGCCCGGCAAAACAAAAGGTTAGGCATCACTGGACCACGCCAAAGTGTACAATATAAGATGTTAAATACCATTTGGTAATTTGGCTTCTGGGTGAACATATATATTCATTTCATCAGAAATGTTTTGTCGTGAATAGGCACTTGTTAAAGGCATTGATGTAGTAATCAAAGCTGTTCCTCCTCTAGATGTCCGTGGTCGTTGAGAAGAATCACTCACCATTCCTTAATAATATAATTTACAATTTAAAATAGAATAAGTAATAAGTATTATTGAGTTTGACCTTTAAATATTTAAATGCACAGTGTAATTCAATTATGAAAAGTTTAACATACTTATACATCCTTAATATTTTCTTATACAATTTATAGTTTACTTCTTGTATAATTAGTAATTTACGTAGTAAAAACTAGGTGTATAGTAAACAAAATGGCATACCTGAATCTTTAGCGCTGTCGTGTACATAAATATTTGTTTCTCCTGAAGCTGTTGGTTTTTGAACATAGTTATTTGTATTAGAATTCGTAACCATACCTGTTCCACCCCTTGTTTCCATCGTCTTACGGTACCCAGTACGTGCTGTACTTATACGCTCTCTAATATCTTTAGCTTTCTCAGCTTTCCTCAACAAATCACTATATTCTGAAGCTTCTTTTAGTCCCAAATCCGTACATATTCTGATCAATAACTTGAGACCTAAGTAATTAAATGCACTGTTAAATATTCAATCTTATATTCTTATTAGTTAAAGTCAGTGTTGGCATACACTCTGTATTGTCTGGAAATCTATTTAACACATCTTTATATGTTTGTAAAGCCAATTGAAAATGTCCTGCTCTTCTATAACACGATCCTATTAACATATACCATTTTGGTTCAGCTGGCTGCATGAGAGATGCTTGTTCAAAGTAGTCTACAGCTTTTTCTGGTACTTTCATTTCAACAAAGTATGCTCCTAACCAATCCAGCACTTCTAGGTTTGAAGGATAATGGCGGTACGACTAAAATTAGATTTAATAACAACATTTACATAAGCAATTACAATTTCAAAAATAAGTATTTGAAACCTCATAATAATAATGGTATGCTTGTTGCTTGTCATTAATGTTTTCATAAATATCACCTATTTTTTGTAAAACACCGACATCATCTGGAACTATACTCAATAGTTGTAAATACCTTAATGTAAAATAATTTGATTTATAATAATATTTTAGTATTTGTTATTATCCAAACTAAATTTATTAATTAGCGTGTAAATAATTTTAATTTATATTTGTGCATAGTTACCACTCTATGGCCTGTTCCAGATCCCCAATCATTTCATTTAACAATGCAATTTGATAGATTACTTCAGGATGATTACTCATAATGACATGGAGCTTTTGAAAACAATCCATCGCATCATCCAAATGTCCAAGTTGTTTATTAGTTAAGCCCAAGTTATACATTGCTTCTGAGCACATCATATCTTTCTCTAGCGCAAGTGTGTATAGTTCTTTTGCTTTGTAGTAGTCTTGTTTGACAAAGAAGCAGTTTCCTTGATTTACACACGCTAGACCATTAAATGAATCTGTTTCACAGGCAGCTATTGAAGTTCTTTCTGCTTGTTCTAAATCACCTTTCTATAAATTTCATACACATAAATTTCATTTATTGGATTTATGTCATATTTGGACGTTTGGTTATAGACATACTAAAAAATGTATGAACGACAAGTTTGTAGCAGCTGCACTTGCCACTTTGCTGTCCTTGTTGTCAAACGCTTTGAGAGTATCAATCGCTGATGCTATGTTATTTTGATAAAGAAATCCAACGGCTTTGTTTATCTCTAAGTGGCCAGCTAAGTACGAATAACGTGACATTTTAATAGTGTCCAAGCACCAACTATATCCTTCAGTGAATGTATCTTCAATAATTGAAGATATTAGGTGTGCTGCGTTAAGAATAGTTTTTTCAAAATTTGATTTAATTTGTTTTTCATATTTTGTAAGTGAATCAGATTTGATGGCTTCTGCTAAGAGTGTGGCTTCAATTTCGTCCTAAACATTTATTGAAAATGTATTTATAATAATATACGAATAATAATAATAATTAAGAAATATTTATTTCATACAGAATTTGCAGCATACTTGTCTTCAAAATCTATGTCTAATGATATTTCTAACATTTGTTTGAAAAGTTGTTTTGATTTATCTTTATTGCCCGACATATAATAGCATACCAAGGCATGCATTCCTGCTTTAAATGTAGGTTTCTCGTGCATAATGTACTCAAAGTTAGAGCAAGCGTCTTCGTATTTTCCTAGTTTCAAAAATATTACACCAATATTATGCGTGATAGCTCGCCTAAAATCAAATCAACTGTAATTAGTAATTACAAAGTTTCAGTGGCGTATATAGGGGGGAGGCCCCCTAGGCCAGAGCCCATAGTGAAATTGCAGGTACAATTAAACCATTTTATGTATATATACACTGTTTACAGTTTTTCACCATGATTAATTTAGCCGGTTGATTAAAATCGTTTTGAGGGATCAACAAGGAAATGTTAGATTGTCAGAACTTGCTTTGATAACTTTTATGTGTTAAATTCACAATAAGATAACATTAAAATACATATGTATATACAAAATTATCTATATTTTTTAAAAAAGAATTAAAAATGAATTTTACATAATAATTATAAAATTTAATTTGCGCAATTTTTATTAGTACTTATAACCACCCTGCTCCTTAAAAAGTTTATAGTTCTGGCTATGTTAGTCCGTTTGACGCGCTATGCTGACTAGTGATAAATTGGCCCATAGTGAAAATAATTTGTATATACGCCACTGCAAAGTTTATTTAATATAAAATATATTTGATTTACTTGAAACTTTTATTGGTATTTGGAACTTGATCAAGAGCCATTCGATACATTTTAATTGCTTTTTCGGGCTGTCCAATTTTTTCATAAATATTTGCAACATTTACTCTCATTCTTGCACCATTTTGAAACAATCGATTCTTAGAGATCACTTGGTATGTATTTAAGGCTTCTGTATACATTTCATTTGCTGCATACTGATTACCTAATGTAAATAACACCTAAAGGGTTGATATAATAAATACATTTTGTGATCGTAAGTAGGTAGGTAATTTTATTCTTTGAAATAGTTAATAACAATATTACTAGGTAGAATAGGTAGATAGCTTAAAAATTAAAAAAAAAAACATTTAAGTTATGAACCAACTAAATACAATGAATTGAATGTACCAAAAACGTCAAATCAATATTGTGAGAATCGTTCAGTCCTGCTTGTTCTTGCATTCTAATTAAACTTCTTTCCTTATTTGAAGCATCTTTTGACTTCTCCAATCCTAGCTGAAAGTCTCCTCTAGCTTCAGCCATACAGGCATCATTGACTAAATCGTGTATGCGTTTTTCAAGTTTTTTAATTTTATCTTCCATTCTAAAATCATTTATTTAATTTAAATCAAATTTAATGTTTGCAATCATTATTATTGTATAATATAGATTTAAGGTAAGGAATATATAGTGCACACAAATGTAATCTATAGTTTAGATAGGTACCTTTCTTCTTTGTTTGGTTCTGACATGATCATATTTCTTGAAGGCTGACTTAAAACGTCATAAGTAGATGAATGTGATGTGTAACCAGCTCCTCTGACAGCTGTTGCGGGTCTATTTGATGATTCTGAACCACTTCTAGAGCTTTCTGGTCTTAAAACCAATGCTTGTGGGTCTTTTATTTGCTTTGAAATTGGATATTTAATAATTCAATATTTTATTATATTCCACATAATAAACCTCAAAATTATACTTACTGGTGTTGTGGCAAATGGCAGTGGAAGACCCGTCGGAGCTTTGGCGGACATCTATTAGAAAAACATAAATTTAGTTTTTTTTTTTAAGTATCTATGTTTAAACTGTTAATTGTAAATTATTGTATTAACCGATGTCCTTCTGCTGTAAGATGACCGTAATGCTTGTCTAAGAATTTCTTCCGGATCTTCTTTTGCCCCATCTAAATGGTAATCGTATTGGGAGTACATGTCACTGTCATAAGCATTAAACTTGTTTTTGAGATGTGCTGAATCCATTTTGAAGTTACTTAAAATGTATCAATAGATGCAATATTATTAGTTAAATAAAAATGCATCTGGCTAT